GCTTCAGCAGTATCAGAAGCGCTTCGAGGCTCTCAAGACCCAGGCTGAACAGCAGATCTCGGGGGGGCCGTCCCCCCCCCCCCCCCCGTTTGTCCCTCCTCGTTCCGACGCCTGCCCGGTGCTCACACATCATTGCCCATGTCCCGGCCCTTTCCCTTCCCCTCGGGGCTCCGCCAGTGCCAATGTCGAGCTTGATCGCCTGCGATCGGAGCACCATCGTGAGGTGGGCGCCGCGAAGGCCCGCCTGGCGCTCGAGACCGCCCAAGTCCGGTCGCTTCAATCTACCCTCGAGCTGCGAGTGCGCCTTTCTCCTCCCTGCCTCCCCCCCCCCCCCCCTCCCCCTCCCCCCTCCCCCTTCCCCCCTCCCCTCCCGCCAGCTGCCCCCTGTCCCGCTGATCAGTCTCCCCTCCCGGCCCTCCCCATGTGCAACACTCGCAGGAGCGCGAGAACACCGAACTCTTTGGCATCTGTGACGAGCTAATTAAGAAACTCGACTCCGTCCCATAAGAGCTCCGTTGGCAGGCGCACGCCAGATCGACAATACACCCCCCCCCCCCCCCCCCCCCCCCCCCCCCCCCCCGCCTCCCTCCGTCGGCGCCCCCCCCCCCCCCCCCCCCGCTCCCTCGATGTGGTGGGGCGACGCTTTGTTTGTCTGTCCACGGCCCGGCCCCCGGCGGTGTGCCTGGGCCGTGGGGTTGGGGAGGGCGGGGCCGGGGGTCGATCGACCTCTCCCGGAGGGGCCGAAGGGTGTGTGATTGGGACTCCGGCTCCATGGTCAACCGGGGGGCGGGGGAAGGCAATTTCCAAGTCGCATTGTTTTTTTCCCGGCTCCATCGGCGCCCGTGGCCACCCCGCCCTCCGGATCGTCGGGTCCCTGCACACGGGCACACTTTTGGAAGAACACTTTTGTGCGAGCAGCCCGCAACCCTCGCTGGAGGCTGTCCCTCCCCACCAACTCGCATCTCTGTCCATTCTTCGCCCTTTCTAGCATTTGCTCCTTTCCCCAGCATTCGCCCCCGATGCCCGACCGGCCAGATTCCCCCGCTCCCGGCGAGGCTCCCCCCGAGTCGGCTGACAGCCCGCCCACCCGGCGCCTGGACATCCACAGCCTGGCTGCCGGGCCCGGCTGGCCCGCGCTGCAATTCGATCTGACCGCCCAGGATGACGACGATGACGACTCCACCAGTGGCGAAGGGCAGCATGAGAGCCAGCTTGAGGATGCCCAGGATGCCATGTTCAGTGGCAACATTCGCCAGTCGA